TTAAATTATAAAGAAATAACGTTAACCGCTTTAAAAAAAAGAGTAAGTTTTTACGATTTTTTAAAACACTTGCAGCTGAGCCGATATGGATACAAAAATTTGACTGATCTAAAAAGTGTTATTGAAGAAAACTTAAAAGCTGAAATTCCGCTAGAAGTAGTTTATGCAGACATCGATTACATGGAACGATACATGGATTTCACCCTTGGAGCGGTATGCTAAATAAAATATTTCGTGGTTTTGAGAATTTTTTTGTTTGATTGTGAAATAATAAAGTAATGTTTTTTGTAAACAAATTTTTTCACGTAATCAATTTTCCTACCTTAGACGCCCACTTTTGAGGGAATATCAAGAAGGAAGTGTTAAACTTTATGGTTTTATTAAAGGTCTGGACTGGATTTGGAGAGTATGCTCAAGAACTGCATAAAAAAGATATGAAACTAATTTTAATCTTCGATCCTGCAATAGATGTGACAAGCCCGGCTTTTGAAAGAGCTCTAAAACAGGTAGAACAGTAAGTAATCTTCATAAGTTTAATTAAGTTCAACAACAGATCATAGTGAATCTAATTCCAGAACGTTTCATTTATTGAGTATCCCAGAGATGACCTGGTGCAGACGGAAATTAACGACATATATCCTTTGACAAAGGACACTAAGGCAAATTGTCCTATTGACATCTCTTAGTTGCATTTCAGCTTCAACTTTATGCTTCTAAAGATATTTATAATCTTTTATTTTGTTAAAATACCTAATTTATCTGTCTTCATCAACTGTCACACATAATTTTTTTTTCATCTTTTACTGTTACTATACCGTGTGATGAATTTTGTTTCAAAATTTTTCAAACTCCTCTTCAAACCAAATTTCTTCTTGCCTTTTCTCAGTGCAAAAGTAGAAAATACAAGTTGATAAACCCGAAGACAAACAACAGTGTCTTAGATTTACAGCACGAATTAGGTGTAGCGATTTTAGATTATGCTAGGCGTTGTATGGCCAGATCATCACGCAGCATTTCCAGACTTCTTCGATCCGCAAAATTCCACAAAAAACTGGTGGATTTCCGAACTTCAGCATTACTATTCTACCGTTAGCTATAAAACTGTTCTTATTTTTGAGCACGAATTTCACCATTAAGATATCATGTCATTTTAGTATAGTGCTTGAATATAAGCACACTAGGAAAAGTTATAGGTTCCTTATGATGGAATCTGGATTGACATGAATGAGCCAGCTGCATTTGGCACCAATGAGGACCATCCATGGTACTTTGATAACCCAGATCACCCAGACATTAAACCACTGAGATGTGACTCTTTTGAGGAAGTTGATTCAGTTTACGACAATGCACCGTATCTGACAAGTTCTATCTATCGCTTCGGCAGCAGCGTGAGTCCTTAAAATGACTTCATTATATGCTCTAAATTGAAATGCTCTAAAATAACTTAAACAGTAATTGAAATCATTTTTAAAAACTTTATTAGTCGTGCAACATCTGATGTCATTGACAGAAAAATACCAACTAAATTGGTGGCTCCAAGCTGATCATTTTTCTGCAGCATATTAAGCGTTTTCTGTTGTTCTCAATATTGCGAGCTTAACACATTTTGACTTTTTTCTATTCCAACGAAGGTAAATGGTATAAGAGCATGCACTTAGAAACGCATAGTGCATACTTAATTATGTCATTAGCTTTAAAAGAAAAATCAGTTGTGTCAGCCAATCAAAAAGTATTTCTTTGTTTCAATATTTGAAGGGCCTCTTGTCGCAGAAGACACTGTGCATGCTCGGCAGAACGCATCGTGGGCAACAAATATTTTATGACACAAAAAACCTTTATGGACTTTATGAGTCAATGACGACTTACGAAGCTGCCGAGAAGATACTTAAAAAAAGACCTGTTGTGATATCACGGTTCCTATTCAAAATTCTTAAGATTTCATTGTTTTTTATTTTACAGTTAACGTGCGTGGCAGTCAGTCAAAACGACGTTTTATTAACTTGTGTGTATTAGTTGTCAGCTGATGGTATATGAGTAAGATTCACCCAGGTCAACTTTTCCAAGTTCTGGGAGGTATGCCGGACATTGGCTTGGCGACAACACAGCGTCCTGGAATGATTTAATCACTTCAATAATTGGTGCTCTTGAGTTTAACATATTCGGAATTCCATACGTTGGCTCAGATGTATGTGGCTTCAACAACGCGCCCAGTGCTGAACTGTGTCTCCGTTGGCAACAGGCAGCAGCTTTTCACCCGTTTTTCCGGTACAACAAAAATTTCTTCTCTTTTGTTACAGTGACATGGAAAGTTTGTTAACAAGTATTCAGACCGATAACTTATATTTCGACTTTTCAGTTTTGGGAAGGCACTTTTTTATGAGCTGGAGTATAGTAACAAGTTTTTTCTAGTAATCATAATAACAACGCATCTCCTCGCCAAGACCCAGCTGTGTGGCAAGAAGTAGCAAGAGCAACAAAAGAAGCGAATCTTTTTAGATACAGATATCTTTCTTACCTGTACAGGTAATAATTTCTCGAAGTTACACTTCTTTTACAGATAATTGTCATAAAAAAACAGAACTTAAATTATATTCCATTAAGATAAAGCAAATTTTTGTTGATTAATTGTGGCAAGTCAAAGAAGTGGCTGGCAAGAATAGAAAAGGTGCACGTTTGGCAGAACAGATATTATTTTCTGTTATTTATGCACAAAAAAATTGTGAACTTTTAAAAGTAGATAATATTTTTTTGGCGACCCGATCAGATAATGCGTAAAACTGCATTACGCAGCGGACTTTTTAGTTTACATTATGAGGCGTCCTTAAATGGTGGGACTGTAGTGCGACCCATGTTCTTCGAGTTTCCTTCCGAGCATGAAACTCATGAATTATGGCATCAGTTTATGTGGGGGAACAGTATGATGATTGTAGCTGTAGTGACAGATGTATGTCGACCGTAAAGTGTTATATACAAATTTCCTTTTTTAATTTTTACGTGTTTATGTATTTAAATAACCTTTTTGCTGTTTAGTCTAATAGCTTACTACCTCAGTTGCATAAATTGAAATTTTTTACACATCTGCTAGGGAAGTACTTTATAAAACACCTGTAAAAATTTCTTGCACAAAGCTAAGTTCCTTAAAATCCTGTCTCCACCAGTTTGATTTCGTTTACTTTGAAACAGTTGCTTTTTTTTCTGAAGCGATTCTGGTTGTAGTGGCCTACTGGAACGCACCCAGGCTAAGATTCTTC